AAGTGTGGCTAAATCTCTTTAACATAGAATGTGTTGTTCCTTTTTTTGTACGCCCTGTATAGTTTTTAAAAGTTAAAAGCATAATCTGTACATGTACGTTATTCATCATATGTATACTGTTTCTGTCTACCTCATAGATTTTGACATATGTAATTACAGATTATTTAGTAACAAATTAAATTATTCGTTTATTTGGGTGTTCCCCTCCAGTGGTTGAGTAGAGTAGCTGTCAGCTAGACTTCGCCACTGGTATTATATATTTTTTTTATTATACTGAATTTTCTTTGAAAATAAAAGACGGTTTATTACTATTATTACTATTATTATTATATGTCAATAACAGGTCCTGATTTATAGCCAATTCATTATTGCCAACGTTACAGACTAATACAAAGGTGTCACTTCCTGATGTAGACATCAAATCGTAGTGAGTACTCATGAAATAAGGCTGTACCACTGTTGTGAGGCTTAGCTATGCTTAACTACGGTAAAAAATATCCATCAAACTTCCCAATCCTCATTCCAAAGGAAGGGAATTCCCAAAACGAAATAATTACACGAATAGGCTCAGGATGAATAGAGTCATCTATGCACTTGCCATACATACCGTCAAAAGAAATTGCAAATTTATTGTACCCGGCTACAATGCCAGCGAAATTAACAAGTGACCTACCTGCAGTAACCCTCTTTCATCTCGCGCACAATGCAGACATTGACTTTACTGCACGCCCCCGAATCTAGGACTGAATGATTGTTCTGTCTTCCAAAGAGCCCACCGTCACCTGTGCAACAGAGACCTGTACAAAGGGATAAAAGTTTCAGTCCATTCAATAGTCGTGAGAACGCTTGTGCAACCTTTTATACATTTTCGGCCTTTTGGCGTTTTTTATTATCTTGCATAGTATGAGGAATTTTTTGCTTGGTGCAGATCGGGATTGATTGTTTAATAGTAGGCGTTCCGGGTTAGTGAACCTGAGATGTGTGTTATGGGAAATTTCCTTACACAGGAGTACACGTCATCCCAGTACGTTTGAGTTTTATTGATCGCGTTTTTTGTATGTCCAAAAAGATTGACGTGGCCACGCATTTATACTATATAAATATACCTACATGATCCTGAGAAGCCCGTATTTGAAATAATGTATAAAGTTGGTGTGAAATAAGAAAGAACATCAGGTAGATTGACTATATACTCCACAGATCTTCGATACAGCTTCTGGTACAATTTGCAGTCTCATGGCATCAAAGAGACGTAGGTTTTGTCAGAACTATACATATAATATGGGCTTTTTACAAAAAAAGTTTTTTCTCAGATTCAAGCAATCAGTGCGTTCGTATACGGTAGCTTCATTTCTATGGAGCTCTTGTGTAAGGCTGCTTGTCAATAATGTTTGATAACATTATAATAGCTCTATTCCTATATACTATTACCTCACGAAATCAAGTAACCTCATTCAACTACACTGAAGCTCGTGCATATAGACAATATCGCATATGTGCATACCGCGTCATGGCGCCGTTTGCTACCTGCTCTTACAAGTCGATCTGATCCACTGCCGAAGATGCAATACATATTTACAACCTCGTAGCGCATGACAAGTGCGAGCGATATAGATGAAATCCGTCTGCTGAAAATATTTTTTAGGGGAAATGTACTGGAAACCTACGATGAGTGAAATATGTCTATTAGGTTAATTGAATTACCCGGGATGAAAGTGTATTATTATACATTTACATCAAAGAATTTGAAGAATTTTTTTTTCACAATTGAGCAAGACCTTTTATTTTATTTTTTTTAATATTATCATTTTCCTCCATCGTCACCAGACCGATTTTCAAAAATAAAGTTTTTCATCTTAGTAGTAACCTTGTGTAAAAATGCTATCCAAATCCGAGCAGTACTTTCCAAGTAATAGCAGGGTATAGGATTAACGGCCACACAGACAGACGAACAGACCGACTTAAATAAGTGACGTGGTTATTCGTGTAAATGTCTGGACACGTCCAAATAACATATCTCAATTACAAAAATTTTTAATACTTCCTCGCCAGTAGGCTTGGAAAGTAAAAGGTCCAAGTTCTAGAGAAAACATTAACTGCCGTTTCTTGACGTTTTAAAAGCAATGCTTCGCTAAACTTTATTGAGTCGGAAAACACTGAAGGATGCCATTTTCACATTTTACTCCCACAGTCTGGAGAACACTTAACGTTTGGCATGAATTATTCTGATGTCATAAGAACTATGCAAACAATTTATTATTTTGTTTTCAAGCCGTAATGCCTTCACTCAAGGAATGCTTCCCTTACAACTTTTCTACCAAACACTAATCCAGGTAACCTAGCGAAAGGTATACGGTAATATTCTGAAGGTACCTTTGAGGGGCCAAATGTTTGGTGAAAACGAGTCAAAGGAATGACTAAAAACTTTTTGTCCGATTAAAGTGTTTCAAAAATTGTTTGGTAGGTATTTTATGGTGGAAAAGTGGCAAAATTAGAAGAAAAGGTGTAAAGTACACTCAGATAATAACTTAGTACAAACAAATTACACAAACCAACAAAAAATACAAGCAGTACATTGAGACGAAGAACATCATATGCTAGTTAAATGCTCGAAAACCCTGTTATCTCTCCTTAAGCTATTGTAAAATTCACATTTATCGCCAATATTGCTAGAATAGTGTCTTATCGATAACACAATTAAGCCTACCTTTATTGCCTGTATTTTATTGATGATTTTGATTGTTTTTACCTATTATAAAATGTCAAAGTATTATGCCTCTCAATTTTAATTTAATACTATGACCTCTTAGACCAATTATTCAACACTTAAGAATACATCGTATCACAAAAGACCCTTTACGTTTTCGTTTCCACACCCGAACTGCCGTTTTTATAAAGAAAAATGTATTCCATCCCTTAGATACAAAATTGCATCTATGCATTCATATGCAGTTCCCATAAATAGGGCAAGTGGTCTGGCGACAAATGAAACGTCAGTATTAGGGCACAAGCAATACCAAGTAAATGCAATAAGGGAGCCGTAAAGCATTTTATAGTGCGGTTTGTTGGGTAAACCCTCTGCACAAAGGGATGAACGGCGCCCTGCAGGGCCAGCTAAATATCTTGTCACTACTCGTTGAATAAACCATTGAAAGCAGAACCGTATTTGGAATGGTAACCGAAGTTACAGGGTGCAAAGCAGACAAACGGTGTTTTGGATATAAGGTGTCACAGAATGTGCGGACCATTTCGTTAGATAAACATAATGTAATAAATTATTGTGAGTTGCCTGCGTATGAAGTTTACGATTTAACCTAAACCGTTCTGGCATTTAAGCATGTCCTTGGTGCTGGTCAACCACAAGTTAAGTATTTTGACGAGTCACACCCATCACCCTGTATGTGCTCCTCCCATTCTTTCTTACCAGATGAGTGTCTCTCTAAAGGATAGGTAATGGCTATAATCCCAAAATATGGTTAATAGGAGATTTAACTAAAAGACTGGCTCTGGCTCGTGCAGGTTTGAATGTGATATAATTATGGGACGTAAACACAGGTACATGGAACTCTATTCGGGACAAAATTTCAGGGCAATCAATATCGTCATCTAATGATGTAAACAGAAATATTGCAGCTAGTATATTCCTTCTTAACCCTAATGCTTCGACATTCCGAGTTACCGATGCCTTGCTGCGGGCAAATCCCGTCAGATTAGAAATACAATAACTTCAGAAACCTTCTTTGGACTTTTTCCATGTCATTCATGTGTCATCTGTAATATGGGTTTCACATAATAATTGCGTCCTCAAGTTTAGTACGTATGTAACTGAAGTATAATACTTTCAGAGATCTTATGTAATGGAACACCAACAATTTCTGACAAGAAATCCGTAGGACCTTATTGCTTTAGATATTTTCAGGGCATTGAAAGTTGTATGTATGTAGGATGGGGGGAGGGGTTGGTTCTGGACAAAACTTCATTAGCCACGGATTTTTGGCGTTGAAGTTGTTCTTCATCATAAATGACTCCTAAGTCCTTAACGTTATTGCACCTATCCCAAACAAATACATCGATGTTATAAGTTATGTGAATAAATAGCCTTCTTCTCAGTTTAGCTAACAATCCTACACTTGCTTATATTAAGATGTAATTTATTGCACACTAATTCCTGATATAAATTGACTGCATCTGCAAGCATAATCAATCCTGTATGTTGTAAATGAAAGAGTATCATACGCAAAGTATAAACGTATACAGCTCGAATTCTCACAGAGGTCACTAATAAATATCAAAAATAATTGCTGCCCCAAGTTAGACCCCTGGGGCACATCAGATGGAGATAAGTATGCTCCGGACTTAAGGCTCTCGCAAACCAACGGGGAAAATTCGCAATATCTACGAATATTCGCACTGCCTGCTATTCGCATCACATTGTTTACACCGTGATGAATAGACAAGTTCAGATCAGCGCGGTATTTATCGATTTGACGGCGATTCATCTACGTATTTATATATGGGGAAACTTAGTTCGAATTAAGATGCGTTTTCTGTCAGATTCGCACCATTATAAAGAGGAAAACCGAAATGGAGCAAATTAATGAATTAGTTCGAAAGTGCCCTATATTATATGACCTTTCTCATGCAGGCTACAAAAATGTGCGTAAAAAGGATAAGGTGTGGACTAAAATAGGAGAAGAAGTAGGCGAAATGGTTTATATTGTTATAATTATCACAAAAATGCTTATTATAATCCTGAATTAAAAAACATAACGAATTTTTCTCGTCCAGAAAATGCCAATATTGCGGCTCTCCTTGGATCATTTTCTCCATATTGAAAAGCTCCAAGATCAGGTTCCGCTGGGTCTAAAAGTTCGATAAATGCATCATCACATTTTTTTGTTCTTAGAAAGTTATGTAAGATGCATGCAGTTTTCACAATAAGAACGGCAGTATCTACTTTGGTTTCCATTGGTCTATAAAATATTCTTCATTTTTATGCCAATAGACCGCAGACATTTTCTACCACTCTTCTCGCCCTACAGAGTCTTACGTTATAATTTTTCTTAAGAAGATCTGTTCTACTTTGTTTGTAAGGAAAAGCCCTCAACAAATAAGGTTTTAGAGCAAAAGCCTCGTCACCAATTATGACATGAAATCTCCTTCCCATGTTGGAAACATAAAAAATTCCTCCATCACTATTTTTACCAAAACCACTAATGTCAACTAACATAAACTTATAATCTGGGTCGACAATTGTCAATGATACTAGGAAAAAATTATTTAAAAAGCACTAATAATTAGATCCCGTTTTATCTGGACACTTGATGGTCACGTGCTTACCATCTATGCTGCCAGTACAATTTAGGAATTGCCATAGGTTTCTAAAGCCTTCCTCAGATTTCTGCCATATTTCTGTTGTAGGTTCGAGTAAATATCGATTTTGCAAATGTTTACATATAGCTTCATAAACTTCTATAACTATGGCGCTTATAGTTGAACAGCCAACTGTAAAACTATAGACAATCGTATAAAATGTATCTCCGATAGCCAGATACCTAAAACAAATATTTTCTTATTAGGGAAGAGATTAAAAAAACTGAAAAATCTGCGTGAGACTTGTGCCAAGTATATTAGATGCAATAAAACTAAAACGGTACAAGCAGCAACTAATATCAAAAAATGGAAGGATTAAGACCGTTTTTAAGTTTTGCTAAAACCACATCCAATATTCAAAATATCCATCCAGAAGAACATACACTAGAGATAAATACGGGGACCGCTGAAAACGAGTAAATGTCTGAAATTCAAGAAATAGAAGAAAATACTTTTTCTGAACACTTGAATACAGACATCATACAGTTACAGCACTCATCTTCAAAGTCAGTCACACCTTCAATCACACCTACACCAAAAGCTACGTCTAAAGATGCATCCGTGCTTAGAACACCGTTAAGCCCTATAGAAAATAGAATAGATAAAGCTGAGCAATCGAGTTCTGTGCAAGATTTGATGACATATTTCGACAGCAGACAAAAATCAAGCTTGATGCAATTGACAGCTTTTTCTCACCCATGCATGTTCAATTAAAACTTTATCTGCTAGGAGACAAATTGAAGCCACAATGGAAATCGCATAAGTCACCATGGAGTACGAACTTCTACATCTGGAAGGAAGCACTTCAAACAATTATCAAACTAGACCTGCAAGTACAGATGCTTGTAGAACTATCTCTGCCGTCGAAAGTACTCCAATTGTACCTATAGGCTCTCCTAAAGATGCTGTATACCATACACTATTGGAGAGGTCCCAAGCGTACCAAATTCATGGATTCATATATACGTATACTACATTGACCAACCAACCGCATATCGGATCTCAACCCGCTTCAAAAGAATCAGTTTCTGATTACCTCGACACATTTAATCCGTCTCCATATTAAGATAATACATTTAGCATTTGCTGAATATGACTGTATTTTTTCCGGATAATACATTTCGTTTTAAATAAACTTTTGAAAATATAACAAACTGGTCTTTTTACCTTAAAGCAATGGCTAGTCGTTCTTCAGGTGAAACAACCTCTCGATAATGTGTGTCCAACTTTCGAATATATATCTATATAAGGTGTAAAAGTTCTTCAAAACAAGCAATTGTCATTCTGAAATAAATAGAACCGTTTCTCGTCTCATATTCTAGCCTTTTTTGATTAATTTTGTCGACTTATTTTTCCCTATTGCAAACACACTAATTCTAAGATATCAATAAAAAACTATTTACCTTAAATTATCTTCTTCCACTGCAAGGAAAAATAGTGCGTCTTCTTTATCCGATTATGTATACATTTCTGTTTTAACCCTAGCATTCCACCTTTTCGATACTGAAAATTCAACGTAATTAATTATTATATTCGCATTGGTGTTAGGCTTCATCCGGAAATCGTCATGAAATTTGCTGCGGATTCTCCATCACGAATTCTCTGCGGATTCTCGGTCACGAATCCGCTGCGAATAATTCGCGTTTGTTTGGGGGAGCTTTACAGCCATGTTTAGTGACATTAACTCAGTTTTGAATAAACAAATTGATATTGTTTTTGAGCAGACGTTTTCTTGCTGATTGTGATACAAAGTCCCTTCCAATGCAGGAAGCTCACGTCCTAGCTCACGTCTCCTTTCTTCTATCGTGACAGTATGGGAATATTCTCAAGCATTTTTCACGCCGTATTAGCCGACGCATCCAAAGTGAGCTTCCTCTATCCTGCATTTTTGCCCCACATTCACCGATCCACAAACCTCTCATCAACCATGCAGTCGTAACAGCACTTCTTCCTATCTAAATCATTAATTTTCTCTTAAGCCGGATCTGTGCCGACGCGCGCGGACCCCGCGTCGCCGCGGCACTACCAGTGGTCGGAAAGTGACTTTCCGCGTTCTGGGGGCCGAGTGCAGGGTGCAGGGGTTTGAGGGGCTGCAATTGGATATTTATGTAAATGCTCCTCGGTACTCGTTGTTCGCACACATGCGTTGGTTTGGTCGCCATTTTGCCATCGGCCTGATTTGATTTGGAAGCAGCATGAGCCTTGATGAATGATTGGGGACAAATTTGATTTGCCAAGTTAGGAAAAATTCGGGATGGGTGCGGTGCGTCTTTAGATTTCCGTCGTAATGTCATTATCATGTGAGGGGATCATATATATTGATATAGATGAACACTACTGATCTGTGCCACTGTGCAACGCAAGAAGTTGACAAATACAAATACAAGCAATTTGAAATTTGAGTTATTTTCAGTGTCAAAACCCCGCTTATAGTTCTTGATCATTCCGAGAGAAAGGTGAGTATGAATGATGAATTTTGTTTTGGATGTTAGAACACCACAGAGGACTTTTGTTGTCTTTTACTGTATGTAAGAATTGAACAAATAACAGCGCTTCAAAATAAACAAAGCCGCTTAACATAATCTAATAAATTCAAGAATAAATTGTCAGAAAAATTGATGAATTTCCTCAAGGTTACAGCAAAATTATATGAACAAGTCTAAGCCAAGCATATCAACACATATATTAACTTCCTATATATCCACCGCAGGGGGAAAAATACCAAAACATAACCTATATACTGGGTGCTCATTTGAAAACTTCCCACCACGGATTTATCGGAAAAGGGTCGAGACACGTCAAAAGATTTTTCAAGATGGACAACTTTTTAACCAAAAGCTATTTCACCCCCTTTCACCTTCTGCCCCCTAGGGTCATTCCCTTAAACATTTAAAGTCACAAGGTCTATTGTATAACAGCTTGTTTGAAAGGTAAAGTCCTTTATTTTGACGTTTAGCTTTTCAATATCAGTCGATTCGGTTTCATGAAAATTAGAAAAACAAAACAGAGGAAAATATCACTTTTTAATTCAATAAGTGTTCAAAATGTTGCCCGTTATTGGCCAAACAATGAACTCGTTGTCTAACCGAACTGGAAGAACATAGTGAGGAAGAGCGGCGTCTTGCTCGGAATATATACTAAGTGACATATAAATCCGAACACCCAGTTTAAATGGTTTTATTTTAATAAAATTTTGTATCAGTACTTTAAAGCCCTTTGACCTTTAAAAACGTGTGGATACACCCTGATGTGCTACGCATTCTCCAACGCGCCTAGGCATGCTACTGATCAGGTGGTCAATGTCCTCCTGTGGTATCTCATTCCAGGCAACCACCAACTCCTCTCGAAGTGCTTCTAGAGTCTGAGGAGGACGTTGCAAATTGAGCAATCTCCTACCCATCATATCCCACACGTGCTCAATTGGGGATAAGTCGGGAGATCTTGGTGGCCATGGTAACAATGTGACATCATTATGTTGAAAGAAGTCTATTGTGACTCTTGCAACATGTGGTCGTGCATTATCTTGTTGGAAAGTTGGATCTGCCAGGGTGTCAAGATAGGGTAAAAGATGGGGTTCTAGAACTTCGTGGATATAACGCTGCTCGTTTATGTTACCTCTGATGAAGATGAAATGTGACCTGGAACCATAAGCTATAGCACCCCAAACCATAACTCCAACAGTGTGATGAACATGTCTTTCAACAAAAAACTGTGGATTCCTCCTTTCACCACGTCGCCTTCTAACCATGGCACGACCATCGTGCATGCCTAAACAAAATCGAGACTCGTCACTAAAGACAATACCGTTCCATTCCTGATCCCAGAGTGACCGTTGTCTGCACCACTCAAGGCGATTACGTCGGTGTTCTCGAGTTAAAGGGAGGACCCAGTGTGGCCGGTATGAAAACAAGCCAAAACTTCTCATTCGTCGGTAAACACTTCGCATGCCAATAGGTCTTCCGTGTTCTGCAAACCATGCATTTGCAATGGACCTGGTAGTGGAGAAACGGTCCCTTAAGGCCAATAATCTTAGGCGGCGATCTTCACGGTCTGTTGTTCTACGGCGGCGTCCAGTGCCCCTTGCTCTTTGCAAACGGCCTTCTCGAAGCCATGCCTGACAACACCTAGCCACAGTGTCTACACTTCTTTGCACTCTAACTGCAATTGCCCGAAAAGAATGTCCAGCTTCCCGAAGTCCTACTATACGGCCCCTATCAAACTCACTAAGTTGACGAAATTGTACAGGTCTCCGTACTCTAGGCATCGTAACCGATCGTAAAGGATGTCAAGAACCAAAATCCGCCAACGTTGATTCTTTACTGCGGCTGAAATATTCATTTTTAGAGCGTTAGTGAATTAAAAAAAACAGTATAAAAACCGGAATGTCCAACTGATAAGGCTAAACATTTTTTCCCTTGTTATTTACAGTAAGATAAGTACATTCACCAACTTTTATTAAAATAAAACCATTTAAACTGGGTGTTCGGATTTATATGTCACTTAGTATAACTACAATTCTCAAGATCTGTTTACATAGCTCTTTACTGCGGCTGAAATATTCATTTTTAGAGCGTTAGTGAATAAAAAAAAAACAGTATAAAAACCAGAATGTCCAACTGATAAGGCTGAAAATTTTGTATACTTGTTATTTACAGTAAGATAAATAAATTCACCAACTTTTATTAAAATAAAACCATTTAAACTGGATGTTCGGATTTATATGTCACTTAGTATATGTCAGCCCCATCAAGTATAGGGTTTCCATCCTCATCGATTTGGTTTTCAATGGTTTCAGTGATAAGAGGATTGGTGGTGCTTTCCAACATATCCCAAAAAATGTCTCGATTCAAGTTTCCATTAATAAACGAACGTCCAATCACTTTGTTTCCTAAAATGCCCGCCCATACATTAATTTTTTGGGGGTCTTGGGGGGGTCTTTACAAAAGCATGAGGATTTTCATTACTCCATTAACTGCAGTTATGCTTATTAACAAATCCATTTAGATAAAATGTGCTTTTATCACTGAAGGAGATATTCTTTACATGAATTGCAGTATTATTTATCGCTGCAGTTCACTAAACTCAACTCCGATATCGATATTATTTTCGGTCAACTCTTGCAATATTTTCATTTTGAATGTTTGGAATTTATGAGATGTGTACAGAGCATAATCAAATACAAGTTGCAGCAACAATTTTGCGTAATGAAGTACATATTAGGATTTATTCCAAAATGAGCCAAAACTTCAACTTGAGCGGCTTCATCCAAAACTCTCCGACGATCACATTTTTTATTTGCAAGATCCAGGTTGAGTAAATTTAGTAACAGGTCCAAAACATACCTATGCGAAGTTATCTTCCCCGGATGTCTGGAGTTTAACGTGACGGCAGTTTTCCGAGCACATTGATTTTGGGCACCATGAATTAGAATCATTTCTACTCTTTCGACTAGTGTGTAAACCATTTTGGAAGTAAAATCTGAATCAATAATTTAATTTTCACTATCCCAAGATTACCTTAAAGGTAACTGATAGCAAATTAAATTCTTTCTTTCCCTTTGCAACAAATAACTAAACAGGTATAATATATAATAATGAATACAGTTCGCCCAGGATATCTCTGTTGATAAGAGAATGCGGCGAAAAATTGGTGTTGTTATTTGGTTGTTGCCTAATTTACCGAATTGCTGTTTACGTTGGTAGTTTCCGTTTTAAATTATAAACGAATTGTAGATTTGGCAAACCATAATGGGCAACATTTTGGACACTTATTGAAATAAAAAGTGATAGTTTCGTGTCTTCTCTTTTTTCTGAACAAATTAAGAATAAAGATTTTTCTAATTTTCTCGAAAACAAATCGACTGATTTTAAAAAACCCAAGGTCAAAATAAAGGACTTCGAATGACCTTTCAAACAAGCTATTACTCGATATCCCTTGTCATTTATAATTTTCAAGGGGATGAACGAGGATAAAAGAGAGTGAAGTAGTTTTTGGTTAAAAAGTTGTCCCTCTTGACAAATATTTTGACGTGTCTCGGCGTTTTTTCTTTAATCAGTGGTTTTCGATAAATCCGTGGAGCGAAGTTTTCAAATGAACACCCTGTATAATGAACGTAACCAATAAAAAGGCGACACTATACCCATATACTGATTGTTGTCTGAAATATTAGATAATAAATTAAGACCAAAGCACCGAGCCAAACTGTAAGACCTATAACTTTAATCCAAGATCGCAAAACGTGAGCGCGTCACATAATGAAGGTTCGTATCTAGGAAAAAGAACCAGAACTAACTAGGATTCCCAAAATGTTGACGAAATATCAGAATAAGCTCTAACCTAGCAATTCATTTATGATTTTATTGTTGGAAAGAAATTAAAAACTCTAACTTGTTCGGCGTTAAAAAATTGTTCAATTTGTTGGATCGTCCAAAGTGATCGCTCTTCAGGATCTTGGGATGGTGCACAATTTAATGTAGATAATTGGCAGC